TATCTTGGATCTTTTTATTTATTCTCCATTAAAAAAATGTAAATTCTGTTTCATCTCTTTAGCATTTGGGCTTACATCCTTGGTGCCTTTCACTATTATCTTTTTTCTCTCAAAGAAAGCCCTTAGTATCTAATACATGTTAATTTTATTTTACTATAGTGAAAGTATGTACAATCAATATCATTTATCAGTGATGGAAAGAGCTTTTCATTTGGAAGTGAGGAATTTTCAGATACCTGAAAAAATTCAGTAATCAAATCTAATCATCTGAACTAACCAGATTAAAATGAACTCGCTGGTTTTAATCAAACTGGCCAATTTTGACTTTTTCAATCTATGTTTGACATATTTTTCAAACTAGAGCAATCAGTTGTTCAGTTTATGGTTGGATTCACCACTCTGGTCCACTTTTAATATCGATGATTTCTTGAACAGGTGACTAGCTCTCAAATGATATGTCTTGTGCAGAATGAAAAAATGCATGGGGGCTATGTAACCTTCGTCATTTTTTTTTAAATGCAGGCACCTTACTGGAGTGGGACGATGACTCAGAGGACAATCGAGGAAGACGCAAAAAGCGTAAAAGAAGTAAACATAGAGGGTTGAATCAATGGGCTGAACTCCCTGAGGATATTCTTTATGTTTTATCAAAGCGACTCAGCATGGTGGATTATTTGTCATTCAGTCGTGTCTGCACCAGCTGGAGGTCAAGTTCTAAGGCCTTTAGAAAGGATTTTCTGACATCTGTTTCTCCATTTATGATTATCATGTCATCCCGGGGTAAGAAGTCATGCTTCTTCTTCAACATATCTGATGGGGCGAGATACAAGACCAAGCTGCATTGCCGTTCCCAAAGATTCTTCCTTGGGGTTTCTAGTGGATACTTTGTCATTTTACCCCCTGGCAATCTTTTATCGTTTACAAATCCTGTTACAGGGCACCTGCTTGAAGTTCCTAGGCCACCTTTTCCTGAGAGAAGACCAGAAGTCCGTGAAATGGCAATCATTGGTTCTATTATCCCTCAGAAAGATTTTATAATTGTGACTCTTTGTCAGGCATGTAATCAGATCCACTTTCGTCGATATAGGGATGCCGAATGGATAGCTCTTGCGTATGATAGGAAAGAAAGAAGAAAAGCTGTGGATGTAGCTGTCTTTAAGTACAAGATTTATGCTCTATTCTTTGATGGTCATATTGGATGTTTCGATTTGAAGTCTGCTTGTATTACTTTTCTGGAGTTGGAAGGGAGGCCTGAGTCTTGTAGCAACAATATGAAATTTGTGGTTGGGGATGAACGACTCTTGGTAGTTGATTTCACTCCCTATAAGAAGCTAGAAATTCATGAGATAGATTTTTTGGAGATGAAGTGGGTGAAGGTTACTGATCTCGGTGATAAAGCATTGTTTTTGTCCACCTTCAGAGGCATTAGATTGATCAGTCCGAAAAAGTGGGGAGGACCAATTAACTGCTTGTACTATCTTCCTTCTATTGGCCTGAGGTGTGAGTTGATCTCCCTTAACTGCAGTATCATTGACAGGATCGAAACTGGCATAGAATTTCCTGCGAGTTACCTGCGATTTAACTTTGGATGGTTCTTCCCAGATCAAGCTTATGAGATGGATGTTGTCTGGGATGATAAACATGGTGATATGCCGGAGCAGTATACCATAGAATGAAGTCTCTAGTGTTGCTCCTTTACTATTTTGCCTTCTGAATTTGGGCAAGACTATAGTTTGAAATAGCTTTCTGATGCTATTTGCCTTTCTTTCCCTTCCCTGTTGAATTTGGTTTTATTGGATGTTGGATTTCTTGTTGGATTTTCGTTGTGTTTCCATATTTGAATTTTTCTGGTGAATTTTATATGGGTTGAATAATTTGTTGGATTTTCATATTATTGGATGTGTTGTGTATGTTATTGACCTGCTTCTTAACCCTATTTTATGCATGATTATTTTGGCCTGAAACTTCTGGATTGTGTCTGGATGTAGATATGTTATCATCATATTCATTTAGTGATTATTAATTTTTAAGAAATTTATTTATTTTTCTTAGTAAGTGCTTCGAAAAAATTTGAAATTTAGCTCTTATATGCTCGTCGCACCAGGCATTCCGGGCCTTTGCTAGTAGCAAAGTCATTTGAAGAGATCTTCTAAAATATTTTGTAGAATAGCTCTTTTAAATTAAGATTAGATCGGATTGTTAACATGTAATGACTATCGGATTAAAAAAATTTAACTGTTATAAAATATTTTTTTGGATGATTTATTAAAATTTAATTTAATTTGATTATTATAATTTTATTAATATATTAATAAATTAAATTATTAATTTTATATAAATTAAGTATTATATATTAATTATTATCACTATATAATATATTTATAAAGTGTCAAATTCTATATTTTTAATAATATTTAATTTGTGATGTAAAGTTGAGATTTAGACTTTAAATTATTATAATTAAAATAAATAATTTTTTTTTTGTGAAATTTATTTAAAAATTTAAAATTATTTTATTTATGAAATGAGCTTAAAAGTTTTCGGAGGTGAAGTCTTTTTCGAGGCATTTAAAATCAGTTTGATTTATAATTTTTTTGAAGTGTAATATCAATAATTAAATATTTATAGTAGTATTTACTTGATTAAAAATAAATTAACGTAATAAGTAAAATTTCGAAGATAATAAATTATTTTTAATTAATTCTTTGTCGTAATATTTTTTTATTTAAATTTTATATTTTTTTATCAATAATTTTTATTATTTTATTATCATAAAATTATTTATTTTTCGTCAATATTATATATCAGATCATTAAGGATGATTTTTTTAATTTATGTGTATTTTTAATAAATATTACAATTTTTATATATATTTTATATAATTAAAATAAAATTAATAATTAAGTACATATAATATTATTTTATTATTTAATTTGATTTTACTTTTTTAATACCACGATTTCTTTCATCTTTAACACATTGATTTACTTCCATTTTAATGTTATGATTTTCTTTCTTTTTAACACCTTGATTTACTACTACTTTCATATTATGATTTTTTTTTTTCTTTTTAATACTCCTCTTTTAAGTTGAGGAGTAAATGTTGCCAATTTCTAATTTACGAATAAAAGTTTAAAACATTGAATTGCTTACACCATTAATTAATATGTATGATTTACATGTTAAGCCGCTATCAAGTTTTTCTCTGATAAAATATTTGTTAATCTCAATATGTTAGATTCATTCTGTAGAGATCCAGAATTAAAAGATAATAAAATCATAAATTAAATGTGGAAGCAAAATAATAGAGTTTAAAATTTATATTCCTTATACAATAATTTAGAATGACTAATAGGGTTACGAAAATGTCATTTCTAAAAACACAAACGAAAATCAAGAAATAAATAAAAAGCAAATAACTGAATATTTTAGGACGACTTTCACTAAAGGAGTCCGAGTGGTGAAACTTATTCACAACCATCTTGTTGATCGGAATCTACATTTTGATCTTCTTGATATAAAATAGTAAATGAAATGGTGAATTATACTAGTATAGTAAGAATATCACACTACTCATCGATACAGAAACTAAATGTTGATAAAAATCATAAAAATAAGCAATAAAGCTCTTGATTTAAGTAAATTCATTTATCATAAGGAAAACCATTTATTGCATATATTTACTGTTGTGAGATTTCTAAAATAGACCTATAGAGATACAATAACTCAAATAAAATTTTAATCTCATTTTCAAGTGAATAATAACAACTACTTTCTATTTTTTATTTGTCTATTAGTATTTTTGGGGACCCATAAGGATGTCTCATTACGTGTGAACTAATATTCAACATTATTAACTAACCGACCGTCCTCATATCCTGTCTAGTATGAGCGTTAAAATTATCATTTCTCGATACACCGTACGATATGAGACAATGTTCACTGTAGGATTTCCTATGTACCCAGTTCATCCACTATCTCTCAAAATATCCAGTAAAACTACCATTCATTAATTCACATGACTAAACAATTTTTCATTTGCATATTAATTACTAATTTTACAAATCAACCGTAAATCACGCAAGACAAGCAATATATATATCGAGAAAGTACAACTGAATTATTCAACTATTCCAGTATATCATCATGTATTTAAAGCTGTAAATTCAATAATCAGTTAAACAGGACAACAAATAAATGACTAACTGGTTCCACCTCTATTCGTAACCTGTAATTATTCTCAAAGTTTTTTAAATTACACAAAATATCATATTATTGATTATTAAGCTTCAATTCCATAATAGAGAATAAGTTGAGAGATCCTTACCCGAATCGGTGTTCGAAATACTGAACTTTCTATTGCATTTATTGGCGGTCTACAGGTTTTTTGAATTTTTTTACGGAGATTAAAATATATTTCACGTACTAAAAATACTTCAAAAAATCCAAAATTGGTGTTAAAAATATTTTTTGGCCAATTTTAAAATTCCGGCGCGGCGGCACTGTCGTGCTCCGACAGCGGCATTTACCTCGACCTGGCCGTTTTCAGTCAGTTTTGACCGATTTCAGCTAGTTTTATACCCATCCATGCAAGAAAATACGTTAGGAGGTCTCAGTTGGCCGAAAAAAGTCAAAAAATAGAAACCTACCGGCGACAGAATTTTTCGGTGTAGCGGCTCCGCTGGCTCATCTTTGTGACTGGGCATTTTTATTCGATCAACCTCTAAGAAACAGAACGATGAATACAATGGTAAAAAAATCGCACGATATAGAAAATGGGAAGGAGCTTATCATAAGAGATTTCGATTTTCGCTCGCAGCAACGCCGTCAAACTTTGCCCGCAGTTTTCAGCTCACCTGTCATTCCTTTTGTTCCGTTTTGGTCATAGAGGTGTTCGAAAATCAAATTTTGAGCGGATAAATTTTTTTTGACATTTTTTAGCGGTCGGAGTTGGCTCCGACATGGCAGCGAGCGGCGGTCGGCTCCCTTCTCTAGTGACTGATTTTTCTTTTCCGGCGGGAGGCTAGCAATTAGGTTTTGGGTCTGGTGTGATGCAAAATATTTATATATGTCTTGCGTTAATCTGGCATGTTCATCGCATTTGATCTCAACCGTCTGATCGCGTTTAAAGAGAAAATGAATCTATATCGTTCATCATGATTTGATCTCGATCGTCCAATCACGTTTAAAGAGAGAACGTTCATCGCATTTTATTGCAACCATCTGATCACGCCTAAGGAAGAAACGGATCTGAACCATCCATGCGTGCAGGAACGCTTTCAGACCGTCTGATCGCGAGGCACGCAAATCACCAGCGTGGCCTCCTGCATGGCATTGAGTCAACGTGCTATGCCACGTGGTGCGCTCTAATTCGTCGGGGCTGCTAACTGGACGGTCCTACATGATACAATTTTTTTTAATTTCATTCTGACCCTTAATTTCTGATTTTTCTTTCAAAAACACCATTCAAACCCAAATTTTCACAATTTTTTCCAAAATTATTTTTAATTTTATCCTAAACTTATTTTTTTTCATAATTCTACATTAAATTAAAATTTATTAATTTCAAAAATAGATTTTTACACATTTTTTTAACACTAAAATTAATCTTTTACTAAATTTCGGGTCCAGATATTATACATTCGTATTGCGTTTATGTAATACTCGGGCCCAGAATTTGACCCGGGATTAATTTTAAAATTTAAAAAATGTATAAAAATATAATTTTAAAATTAATAAATTTTTATTTAATGTGAAATTAAGGAAAAAAATAGACGAAAAATGAAATTGAAAATAATTTTAGAAAAAAATGGTGAAATTTTGGATTTGGATGGTGTTTTTTAAAAAAAAATCAGAAACTGAGGGTCAAAATGCAAGTAAAGAAAATTATGTCACGTAAGACCACCAAATCAGCAGTCTCGACGAACCAGAGCCCGCCACGTGACATGACACGCTGACTCGGTGCTACACAGGAGGCCACATTGGCAATTCGTATGCCCGCGATCGGACTGCTTGGAAGAGTTCCTGCGAGCGTGAACGATTCGAATCTGTTCCCTCCTTAGGCACGATCGAACGGTTGTGATTAAACACGATGAACAACCTACATTCATTCTCTCTTTAAATGCGATTGGACAGTCGAGATCAAATCGCAATGAACGGTTTTCTCTTTAAATGCGATCGAACGGTCAAATATCAAATACGATAAACAGTCCAGATTTAAGCAAGACGGGTATAAATATATCGCATTACATTGAACTCAAACCCTAGCTGCCAGCTTTTCGCTGGAGAAGGGAGCCAACCGTCGCCTACCACCATGTTGGAGCCACCTTTGACAGCCAAAAAGGGTTGATCGAAGAAAAACGCCAAGCCATGAAGGTGAGCCAGCAGAATCGCCGCACCGAAAAATTTTGCCGCTGGTAGGTTTTCATTTTTTGACTTTTTTCAGTCAATCGAATTTTTCTAATATGTTTTCTCGCAGGGATGGATATAAAACCAGCCGAAAGCGGCCAAAACTGGACGAAAACGACCAAGTCAAAGTAAATTGCCACTATGGGTGACAGTGCGGTGCCGCCGTGCCAGAATTCTAAAATTGATTGGAAAAGGTTTTTAACATTGATTTTAGATTTTTTGGGTATTTTAGGTATATGAAGCGTGTTTTAATCTCTGCAAAAAAATTTAGGAAGCTCGGAGACTGCAAGTAGGTGCAGTAGAAAGTTCAGTATTTTTGACACCGATTCGGGTAATAATCTCTTACCTTATTCCTTGTTATGAAATTGAAGCTTAATAATCAATAATATGGTATTTTGTGTAATTTATAAAACTTTGAGAATAATTACAGGTTACCAATAGAGCCGGAAACCAATTAGTCATTTATTTATTGTCTTGTTTAACTGATGGTTGAATTTATAATTTTAAATAAATGATAATATACTGGAATGGTTAATTGATTTAATTGTGCTTTCTTGATATATATATTGTTTGTCTTGCATAATTTACAATTGATTTGTGAAATTGGTAATTAATATGCAAATGAAAAATTGATTGGTCATGTGAATTAATAAATGGTAGCATAACTGAATATTTTGGGAGATGGTGGACGGATCAAATATATAGAGAATCCTACCGTGAACGTTGCTTCATAGCGGGCGGAGTATCGATAATTGATATTTTTGACACTTATATTGGACGGGATATAAGGATGACCCGATTCACCCTTATACCGGACATGGTATGAGGACAGCCGGTTAGTTGACAATGTTAAATATTGGTTTACGTGTAGTGGAACATCTTTATAGGCATCCAGGGATATCAATAGGCAAATAAAAAGGGAAAATGATTGCTATTGCTCACTTGAAAAATGAGATTGAAATATTATTTAAATTATTGTATCTTTATAAGTCGATTTTAAAAATCTCACAACAATAAATATATGCAATAAATGATTTTTCCTTATGATAAATGAATTTACTTAAATCAATAGCTCTATTAGTTATTTTTATGATTTTTAATAACTTTCAATTTCTGTATTGGTGAGTAATGTGATATTTTTACTAGGTTAGTGTAGCTCACCATTTCAATAACTATTTCAGATCTAGATGACCAAAATCTATATCTCGATCAACAAGAGGGTTGTGAATAAGTTTACCGTCCGAACTCCTTTCAAAAGTTAGTGAATGTCGTTTTCGAATACTTAGCTATTGGTTTTTTGTTTATTTCGTTACTTTTCATAATTTCTTTTAAAATGAACATTCACGTAATCTCATTGAATATTTTAAATTATTATGTAAGAAGTATAAATCCTAAACTCTATTATTTCGCTTCCGCATGTAATTCATGATTTTATTTCTTTTTAAGTTTCGGACCTCTAGAGTCTAATTGTGAGTAATATTTATAATCGATTTATTGCTGGAGTATATGATATATAAGATTTTTTTACTTGATTTTAATATTGTTTAGTATTTTTTTATTTATAATAGTTCACATACTCCTTTTATTATTATTTAAAATTTTTAATTTTTTCTTCTTTAATGTTATGATTTCTTTTATATTTAATACTATAATTTTTTTTTAATATTATGATTTTTTTTTATTTTTAAACAGTTTGATTTATTTTTTTAGTATTATAATTTTTTTAACATGAATTAAATAAATAATGTTTTAATATTTCAAATAGTAGAGTAAAAATTTTACTTCAGCGTTATAATGCCCATTAAAAAAACTAAGAAATCACGTAATATATATTTTTTTATCTAAATACATGATGCATCACCAAAATAAGTTTAACTTAATCACCGTAACTTTATTCATAAATTAATAATTAAATTTTATTTCAATTAAGTTAATTATTATATATAAACAAACTATGATAAATTTATAATATACTCACAAAAAATTAATTAATATATTAAATGTATACAAAAAATCATCCAATTATAATTATTGTATTCAAATCCATACAATTAATTAAATTAACTGGCTTTTTTTTAATGAGTATTAACAATCGGCCTGTAGGACGGCCACGAAACGACACCGGTTAAGCGGTTACAATTCGTGCAGTGTATTAATATTATTTTCGCAGAATCATCTAATTGAATAACACAGTACATATTGTAGTTAATCTGCCAGAAGAAAAAAAATTCATCCTGATCTTCTACTTTCTCTCTTATTTTCCTTTCGGTTTTCCGGGAAAACTCGTCCATTATCCAACTAAGTGCAAAAGCTCCAATCTCTGGATTTCCGTCTTCTTTCAAAATTAGAAATGTTTTTACAAAGCATTTCCAGAAATAGAAAGAGAAGTAGTACCAAAGGCCGTATCATACTCAAAAAAGAAACGAAGAGGAAGAAATTGTCCTTGCAAATCTAATTCCTCTCTCGCACAGTGGATTCAGGCAATTGCTGCAACACCTGCACCGCCTTCTCGTTTCTCCAAAACAGATCTTTACAGTTGTTCAACTTGCAGGTCTTCTTTTTTCTTTAAATCTAAGCAGTTTACATGTACATATTATATGCGTGTGTGTGTGTCTATGCATATCTGAGGAATCAGATGTTTTAGCTTATTTTCTGTTTATCATTCTAATGATTTAACTTCTATTATTTGTTCTAAGATCTTACTAAGAGTAGCTTGGTTTTAGTTCCGTACATGTCTTCTATATTTATTCATTGGATGATTAGTAACTGAAGTTTCCTCATTAGGGATGATGCATGGTTCTAGAAATCTGTATATAGAAGATAATCAAATATCCGATATTTGCATTTAGGTTTTGTTCTCGTGTTGCTTTTGGCCATATCATAAATATATTGAAAGAATGTAGAATTTATGGATTTGGGTTTAAAACAAGATGCTTTCGAAGAAGATTGTAATTGTTTATGTACAATGGGGGTCAACTGTCATCATATCAGTGTTTTGAAAAAGAAAAAACTCCATCCTTAATATGGTTAGTATGTCCTTCTCTTTTATTTCAAAAAAAAAAAAAATGGTTAGTACGTCCTTGATATTATTTGATGGATAAGTAGCACTAAACAATTTTTTGTTGAATGTGTTCATGCTATAACAGATAGATGTTCAGTTCTGGATTTAAGTTGGTGCGGAGTATTAATAGAACTTGAATGGAACCTATGGCAGGTTAACTAACAGATAGAGTGGCCGAAGAACATGTTGAATCTGTACCTGTATTAGTAATACATAAGGTCAGATAAGAAGCTTAGATGGTTCGCATCAAATTATTTCTACAGTCTACTAACATCTACTATGGGTAATCAATAACTATCACTTAAGTTATAGTAGTGCTTTCCCTCCAACTTAGCATATCTAAGGCTTTAAGTTTGGTACAAATGCACAACTTAATCTAGCAACGAAAGAATGAAGTTTTTATAAAAATTTAATCAGCTACATTTACAAAGTCTTACCTTGAAACTAGTGACATCAATTGAAAAATAAATCCATTGAACATTGGACTTGGTTCATACTCCTTGATGTAATCTTTCTTTCTTTGGAATGTATTTTTATACTAAATTAAAAAACCATCTGGTTAGATTACTATTCAATTCCTTCCTCATTTATTTTTTTTGGTTACTTGAGTATTCATTATGTGTAAAATTTAATCATACTTTTCCTATTTGAATCAATTTCATTATGACCCTCGATTCATTAGAGATAATTTTTTAATTTGTTTCATTCGGGATAGATTTTTTATTCGTACTTACCAGGTAGGAATAGGAATTCATCTGCAAAAACTTTAAAATATGATTAGAATTATAGTACTTACGCTTTTTAATCTAAAAAAAAAAATTAGAATTAGTGAAATATAACAATTATAATGTTCTCCTATCTATCAAGAATGTCTATTAATTCTGTAAGGATTACAGTAGGAGCTAAACTAAATGGACCCTAATGGCTTTGCTACTCTTTATGCTAGGAAAATTGTTTTAAAAAATTTTGCATCATAAAATTCCTAGGAATGAATATTAGTAGACATGTTAAGACACCTAGCTAAATCAATACAGACTTTCGAAGACACGAGTCTAAAAGAGTTGACACGGTGTTGTCGACGTGTCTATTGTGAGGAGTTCTATATGACAAGTGTTATTTATGGTATCTTCTTAAGCACAAGGAGTATAAATGGCCTCAAGACCTAATTTTCTTTGAGTAAGTGAATTAGAGATAGAGAAAATGGAGAGGAGAGGCGGTGGGCGCTATGATCTTCGACCTTTGGTGCATATATCATCAATATCAAGTATAACTTCTACTTTTTTGTGTAATCATCCTTATTGTCATTGTCTTTATCTTTGTAATCATCGTCATTGTTGTAATCGTTGTAACCATCACTATCTTCAAATTAATCATCGTCATGATTGCAATCATCATCTTGATCCATATTGTCATTTTTATTCTTCTGGAATTCAAGCCTGTAATATGCATCTTGATTTTCTAGAAGTTATTTTGGAAGCAATTTTTTTTAGGGATTTGATTTTACTAAATGTCTTGATCATTAAACACCACCTTATTCTTCTGTCTTTTCTTGATTTTGCATCAAATGACGATGATGATATTTTGTCTCTTAAGGGGCTTTCGAATCTTTGAGTTCTTATCAAGTGGAAAACAATTGATTGTTAGTTACAGTATGATGAATTAAGAAAGAGATCAAGTGATTCTAATAAGCATACAGTCGATTCAGATAACAAAACTTAGATTAATTTTTGAGGGTTGAGATGTGAAAAGAGAAGTTCATTGCATTTGTATGTTCATATTAGTTGTGTTTGGCATTTTTTTCCTGGATCTAATAGAATCTGTTTCATAAAACAATAAAACGAGATTTGGATCTGTAGGTTCTAATACCAATAGAGAAGTGTATAATCTTGAATATGGACTTGCTGATATTACTTGAATTGTTGTATAACACAACTTATACAAGTCATAACTGTATATGACTGTATCTGATTCTGATTGCATTACAAATGTGGTGGAAAATGAATGCTGCAACAACAGGTGGATCCTTCTCTGCAACTGTTGGACATCTCACTCTATAGCTTAGCAACTTTATTTGAATTAGTTTTTGTGAATGCATGTTTAATTGTTATTTTATATTCCATTGTGGTTTTCTGTATATATCTGTCTCTCAATCTGATCAGCTTTGAAGTTTTAGCATATTATTGTTGGTCTCTTATTTCATTCTAAAGTAGGTTTATTCAGCTTTTTAAATATGTGAAATAATTTCTATTATTTGAATAAATGAATTCAATATGCATGCAAATCAATGATATCTTACATAATAATCCATCATTTAACTGGTAATACATCCCTGTTACCTCATACCTAATTGTTACTTCTGTAGTTGTAATTTGCTTTTTCTTTTTTCCTAATAAAATATATGAAAAAGACAATTATTTTTTTAAAACAACGAATTCTTGTCATCAAGGAAGTTTGTGAGTGGGCTTTGGTAAATGCTTGTGTTTTTGTCTTCCAGTATATTCGTTTGCTGTTTGATTTCTGACCATTACTCTAATAGTGAACCTTTGGGACTAGGTGAAATCTAGCCAAGAGAGTTTCAGAATCTGAAGAAGTGACACTATCCTATCTTAGTGCTGACATTTTCTGTAATATTTCTGTAGTAGTAGACATGCTTTTTTCATAAACTTTGCTGAAGATTTGGCCATGTATCAGAGTCTTTTACTCCTTTGTCAATACTAACAGCAGTATCAATCCTTATCATTTATAAAAGAGCATTCTTGGTGTTGTTATTATATCTAGACATTTTTTATCACTAAAAAACTTACAGAAGAACTTGTTACTAAGAAGTTTATTGTAATTCTTGGAAACAGGAGGCATTTTCTTCTTTGTGGCCTTATATGATTTCCCCCCTTTGTAAAGCAGTAATATTCAGATGTTTCTCTTAAAACACAGGTTCCTTGCTGACAGGGGGAAGTTCTTCAAAGGGCAACAAGGAAAGCTGTAAAAGGAGAAAGGTAAGTCCATTAGGTGAGTTAAGACCTTGGTCAGAACTCCCTGATGAGCTTCTTAATATTATATCAAAGCGACTCAGCATGGTAGATTATTTCTCATTTGGCCATGTCTGTACAAAATGGAGGTCAAGTTCCATGGCCTCGAGTAAGGACTTTTTTTCATCTGTACCTCCACTTGTTATCGTCTTGTCATCACGGGGTAAGAAAGCCTGCTTCTTCTTCAACATATGTGATGGGAGGAGATATGAAACTAAACTGCCTTGCTTTACTGGCAAATTTCTTATTGGGTCTTCTAGTGGATACTTAATTATGGAAGGTACTAAACAGGATCTTTGGCTTACAAATCCTGTTACAGGGCACAAACTTGAAATGATTAAGTTATTGCAGCCTACGAGTCGAGTTCATCTCAATGATCTAACCATCTTCGCTTCTACCATACCTCAGAAAGATTTTCTTGTTGTGAGTATCTCTTTCATAAATGTGCAGCTGCAATTTCGCCGATCTAAGGATGTGAACTGGCACATCTATAAGTTTCCTAGCAAAAGTTGGCGTTTTTTTGATTTGGTTGTATTTAAGTTTAAGGTTTATGCTTTAGGCACTGATTGTCAGATTGCCACTTTGAGCCTGAAATCTCCTCCTAGTTTGACTCTATTGAAACTGAAAGGCAAGCCTAGATTGACCAACTTTGTTAAGTTTGTAGCTTCAGATCAGCGGCTTTTGGTGGTTGATTTTATTCCCTCATTGCGCCTAGAAGTGTATGAAGTAGATATTTCGAGGATGGAATGGGTCAAGGTGACTGACCTGGGTGATCAAGCATTGTTTATATCTGATATGAAGAGCAGCAGGTTGTGCAACGCGACTAAGTGGGGTGGATTTAGTAACTGCTTGTATCATCTCACGTTTATGGCACAAAGATGTACTTTGTACTCCCTGGCTGGTAAGGTCATTGGCAGCATTGAAATTGACCGAGGAGGTAAAGAGAAATCTCCTCGACTTAATTATGGATGGTTCTTTCCTGAGGAATCTTATGAAATGGATATTGTCTGGGATGACAAGTATGATGTTATCTAAGAGAGTGTAAAGAATGGCACGTTATCTCCCTTGCTTCTTTGTATTGTCGTTAACCTTCTGTGTTTGGACCAGATTTTGCCATCAAGAACTTTCTGGCGTTCTTCCCCTTTAATTTTATTTGTTTCTGGAATTAAGTCCCTTTTTTCCTTTCGGTTTAATTCTCAATTTGGATATATTACCCTCTTTAGTAGCTCTGAAGTTATGTTAATGTGTTACACGTTGTGTGTGCATATGTGACTTGTACTCTGTATTACTAATTAATTGTCTTAAGTTTAAAGAACCTTATATAGCATTAGTGTTACAGGTATTGACATTTGACTCTAAAAATTAAGCATGACAGCTTCGCCATGCTCTGGAAAATTGTGTGTGATCAAAGGAAGCTCAACCCTGATGTGGTGAATTTTCTAGCAGGTAATTTTTTCTTAACTTGAACAATATATTTGCATGATTATTATAAAAGAATATAAGAAGGTACATAGCTTTTCTAAGGGAAGGGTTCTTTCTTTTATTTATTGCATGCAATTGAGAATTTTAGGATTCTATATTTTGTGTTCTTTTCCATTGATTTTCATTTTTCAGCTGTAAGTTATGGTGATCTAATCCTCTTTGTGTTTAGATCTGTATGTCAGATGCAGATTCATGCAAATATCAACTGGAATTTGTTCTTGCTTGATTACTTGGTTTATATATGCTATGTAATGCTAATATTTTGCCGGTTGAACCTGGTCATAATGGGTCTTTTGTTTTAGGCTTCCCATAGATAACTATGTTCAAATCTGTGTCAGGGATCCAACTTAGTTTTTGGTTTCCATAGGTTACGTGATAGAGGGGTTTTCTAGAGCATTCATTTTACGAATTGCTGTATATTTTCTATTCAGTACATTTAGACTGTGAAAGGGTATCGTCATTTAGTAGTTCTTTTCACTTATGAAATATTCAAAGATACCTGGGCCTGTTGACTAAGTCTATAGGACATAAAAAAATTCAGCAGTTAATTGTAAAAAAATTATATTTTTTTGAATATGAAAAAATAAGAGCAGCTGGCTAGAAATGAAATCTTGAGTGTCTGACTCCGCGCTTTTATATATTTATACCCATTGATATAGAGATATTGGTTTTCTAGAGCATCCATTTTATGATTAGTCTGTGCTTTTTTATTTTGTGCATTTAGATTTTAGACTGAATGGGTGCTGTCTTCAGTATTTCCCTTTTGTAAACATGGGTTTTGAAGAGAGGGGGGGGGGGGGGGGGGAGATGAGCAGCTGACTTGAAATCAGATATAAGTGCATGCATGCATAGGTAGCTTTCGGTGTTTATATTGAACAAGGCAGTACAGGAAAATACTTTGCTAGATAGTACCGAACAAAGAAAAGTAAGGTGTTTGCTGAATACATACTTGAACAGGTAGACATAATTTATAGTAACTTTTTACCCCTGTGCTATTTAAATTTTGTGGTTATATTTTCATTTATTTAGCTTTAATTCTTAATTTCTTGAATATCTTTTTGCTAGTTAAGTTTTTATGTTATATTTTAGTTAATTGAAATTTTATTTATAGACTTAATTTATGAGTTAATGACCTATCCACTCAGGAATATTTTTCAAGGATATCAAGCAGAAAAGGAAAGCAAACCTTCTTACTTTATTGGAGGAATAAGTCTATATGGAGATAATACGGCATACTCCCACTCAACATTTTTGTCCCTCCACAAGCTATTAATCAACTTTTTGTTAATCTCCTCCATTTTATTCTCTTGAAAACAGACTAAATCAGGTTTCCACCGCTTCAGGCAGCCTTTAATAACCCTTCTCTTTCTATCCTACAGCATCTGGAATATTGTCTTGGGTTTGCTGGGTTTAAGTTGGGTTATGGTTGAAAATGTGAGTAAAGAGTTGTGGGCTTGGACAGATTATCGTAAGAAGAAAAAATATTTGTTCCTTTCCTTATTCCACTAATTATTTTTTGAATTGTGTGGAAGGAAAGAAATGCGAGAACTTTTGAGGGCATTGAGACTAACAATTCAAACATTAAAGATAGATGGATCTATACTTTTGGTTCTATTTTGTTAGGTCATAATATCAAAGATTAGGATGATTTGGGGAGGGTCATGAATCACTTAATTGACTTGTAACTATACTATGTACATGGACGGTACCCCTTTGATACCTTTTGTGTATAATATTACTTCTCTTATATTTAAAAAATAAATAAAACTCCAAAAAATTTTAAATGAATAATGTCGGTGGTCTACCTTTTTTAGTAAGAATCTTGGGTGTTTTGACAAAAATGTATATAATTTAACTTCAAAATCAACCTCCAAACTATTGTGATTAAAAATGAAAGTCAAAATTAAGAATAATACTGATAATAATTTGATGCCCATAAAAGGATTGGAGAGAGATGACAATGGAGAGAAGAGGGCACTAGGAAAATATTATTTGTTTAGTAAGAATAACTTTGTTCCATCATTTTGTAGGAAGAAATTTGTTCCTAATTTTAATGTTTTCTTGTGCTGTTCATTTCCTACATTTTTACTGCTACATGTAGAACTGTACTTTATTGTTCTGTCCAGTCTTATATTTTTCAAATTACCAACTGCTATTATGGATACATGCATATACTGCTTCTTAGTCTTTACCATAGAAATTTGGTATTTATAGTATCTAATTATCTGCCTGCCTGTCTCTTATCTGTCTTGATTTTCTTTATCTTTCAAAATCTTATAGTATTATCTTAATTGGGTAAAATAATATTTAATGAAAAAATATATGTCAAAGTTTATTATGAAATTACTTCTTTTGCTTTTCTTTACATATATGTAAATCTAAAAACAAAATCCAGCATTTGATTCTGGATTGAGTAATGGAGATAAGCTATTTCTAAGTCCGGTTTATTTTCCCAAAACAGGACTAAGGAAAAAACAGGACTAAGGAATACAGCGTAATCAATTGTAACGCCAGCCCACAGTTCCTTCACCAGGGACTCCACCTGTTGCCTTTGTTCAACACGGTTCAGATTAATACTGGCTGCATAATGAATACATAGGGCCACTCTTTTCTTATTGCAGCAGGTCTCTTCTCCTCTTTCTTCACTACCTCACTCTTGGTTTCTCACAAGTTTAGGTTACTGGCTAGTTAATCTCCCCAGGGTAGATCTGAGCCTGCTGGAAGCTTATGGAGGAGGTAAATTTTGTTATTGAGTAATTTTTTTTGCTGTTTGGGTGGTTTTTCCAATTATCCTACTGTTCTCTCTCTCTTGTTTTTCTTAAATTTTATCATCTTCCGTTTGTTTGGTGAGAAAGGTTAGGAAAATGAATGGAATTTTGTGTTTATGACTGTTGTTCTCTGTGGATATATGTATATTTATCTGTCAGAGCCCTGATTTTCCCCCCTTTCTGATGGTGTGATTTACGGATGAATCCATGGCTGTGTTATTTTGGTTGTTTAATCTCTAATTGCATGTTTTTGCCAAGATCTAATCAGAGTATTAAGTACATAGAGTTCCCTGATTCTCGCTTCCCTTTTCTATTGATCTTATTTAAGGATGAATTGATTTATCTTAATCTCTAATGGCATGTATTTTACAAGATTTGGTTAAATGATCTGGTTTGATAATTGAATACTTGAGTTTTCTTTTAACAAAGAAAAAAAACCTTGATTTTCCCTCTCTTATGATTTTCTGATGTAAGGATGAGTTCATGGTTGTCTTTGTTGTTTGTTTAAGCGTCTAATGCCCTTTTCCCCTCAAGATCTGATTAAATTATCTGACTAGAGGATTAAATTCATATTCTATTTTCTTTTTCCACTGGAAACATCCTAATGGCATATGTGTTTTGTGAACTAAACAATCTATAAACGGAATGAATACATGTTTTTTTTCTGTAATCTCTAGTAGCATATGTTCTGTCAATCTGATAAACTGATTCCTTTTTTCCTTTAATTTAGTAGTCAAAATGGGGAATTGTCCTATTAAAATTAATGAATCAGAGATTATGATTCTCCAATTTTTCAAGGTTAGGTGTTCATGATTTTGGAGGTCTAATAACACACCAGCCTGACCAGACATAGTATCTAACTCCGAATTTCATCAACAATGAGATTGGAATTGACTAACACTGAAATGGAACCCCCCCCCCCTTTTCTAGTGGCTTTTGGTTCACTTTGTGTTCAGTATCCTTTTTTAGCTAATTATTTGAATATCCATGTACGTTGAATAGGGTGATTATTTCTTGTTTGAATTAATTTCAAATATAACGTGAATATCTTGAAGACTTATTTCAGTTCCTACTTGGATTGGTAGAAATAAAAAAATATATTCCCAAAGATTCATGCTAGATGTGAAATCATGATAAGATTTTACATATTAAGGTAACTAATCGTTAAGTAAAAGAACGCTATAGAAATTGAACCAAACAGGTTATAGAAGAAAGATCTTTCTCAAGTGGTCATTATCTGTTGACTATAGGTAGGAAGAAAATACCTATCCTAAAAATTTTTGCTAGATTTGAAATTACAATAAAATTTTACATATTAAGAAGAAGAATGAATTAATTAAGTAAAAGAATAAAATAGAAACTGAACCAATCAGATTATAAAAAAAATATCTTTTTCAAATTATCACAATCTATTGATTAATGTGCATTTTTTTTTTTGTTTTGAAAGGGAGTAATTGTTTCTCGACAGCCAGCTGGTGGGGTTGCTGAACGAGCTGCTACTCGCAGGAGAAGGGCAACCAGGACTTGTGACTAGAGGCCATGGACTGAACTTCCTGGGGAGATACTTGAAATGATTCTTTTGGGATTGGGGGCTATTGATTTCCTTGTGTTTTCTCGTGTTTGCAAGGCTTGGAGAAATTTTGCTGCTGCATGCAGGCGTAGAATAATGGACGCCCAGAGCCCCTACATGGTTCTGCTGTCAGCCCATGCTAAGAAATCTTGCTATTTCTTCAATGTTTTTGAGAATAAGTTGTGGAAGACCACATTCCCTAATCTGACGAAAATTATGCTTGGGGACTACTTCTGGTTTCCTTATTATGGTGGACAAGGATCATTCTCTGACCGAGTGGCTTGGAGAATAATGGACGCCCAGAGCCCCTACATGGTTCTGCTGTCAGCCCATGCTAAGAAATCTTGCTATTTCTTCAATGTTTTTGAGAATAAGTTGTGGAAGACCACATTCCCTAATCTGACGAAAATTATGCTTGGGGACTACTTCTGGTTTCCTTATTATGGTGGACAAGGATCATTCTCTGACCGAGTGGCTTGGAGAATAATGGACGCCCAGAGCCCCTACATGGTTCTGCTGTCAGCCCATGCTAAGAAATCTTGCTATTTCTTCAATGTTTTTGAGAATAAGTTGTGGAAGACCACATTCCCTAATCTGACGAAAATTATGCTTGGGGACTACTTCTGGTTTCCTTATTATGGTGGACAAGGATCATTTTCTGACCGAGTGGCTTGGAGAACTTCAACAATCTGGCTTTTGAATCCTTTCACAGGGGAACAACATTTTAGCCCCAGCAATGAAGCCATACTGTAGTCTCATGCTTGGCCACTTTCGACCAGCAGGAGAATATGTGCTCTTATCTTACTCTAGAATTTTCCAGCACTTGCAGTATTACATGACTTCAGGTGGCTGAGTGTTCAGCTTATGCCTTCGCCCACAAAGAGAATTGGCTGATCATGGATCTGGTTTACTTCCGAGGTCGGATGTGCTTCCTGAGCAATTTCTGTGAACTTGGACAGCTGAAGTTATTCAGTTCGGACAGTGACCCTTTCCTTATATTGTCTGCGAATAATCTGCCTCCTCGTCTGAACTATTTCGTTCACCTTGCTACTACCAACAAAAAGATCCTGATGATTAATTTTCAATCTCCCGGAAATATTAAAATCCGCAGGTATTGCTTCGATAGGCAGGATTGGCTGAGGATGAACTTGACTGAAGATGCGGTTTTCATGGGTGACCGTAAGTCCACTGGAGTGCACAAGAGGACCCTGTTGCGAGGTTGCCCCGATAGTGTCAATTACATTTACTATCTGGTGACCTCGCGCAACACGTCTGCTTTATGCTATATCGATGGTCGTGTCCGGAAGCGCTTTTCTACCATTCATGATGATGGCCAGCCCAATATCCCTCTGGATGTGCCAATCTGGTATTTCCCGCATCTGTCATACTATGATGGGTTTCAATGTAGGTCGGAGGTGGTGGCAAGAGTGATGGTGGTGGGAATTGGTATGGTGTATTCAGCTCTGTTTCTAAAAGTTGGCAGTCAGTGTCTTCTTGAGTCTTGTCTGTCTGGGATGCGCTGAACTCAGGCCTTGGTTTGTTTTATTATCTTGTTTTATTGTCTGTATGGATGGATGCTCTCTGTTTTATGCATAGTAATGGACGGCTCGGACGGATCAAAACCCTTTTTCGTGTCAAATTATGATAATTTCAGGCCTTCTTATTTCTCTTAATGGCTTTGGTATATGAAAATAATTTTATGTATTTATCGAAGAAAATTATATTTTACTACTTCTTAGATAAAATTATTTTGAACTTATAAAATTTAATATATTTAAGACTATTTTATAATTTGGTGTTAGAAAATTTAAAATTTCTATTTTTAATTTTTTTTTTTATTTTTGTTTTTATTATAAGTTTTATAAAATATAATGAGAGATATCAATAACCTCTTCTTGTCAATTATGTAAATATAAAATCAATGTTATGACTTTTTATTAGTATTTACCCGAAAAATTGACTAAAGCATTAACTTAAAATAAAATTTTACATTTACACTTTTAATTTTAAAATTTAAGAATCAAAAAACATTTTTAAATTAAAATAAGAATTAAGAAGAAAGTATCAAATTGAACTTTTTTTTTTAATTTACTTAAAAAACCCAGATAGTAAAGTCTATTTTATACTTAAAACATTCTCTATGTTGTATAATCTTCATATGTTAACTTTTATTATTTTTTATTTTAATAACACTTTTTTAACTAATAAGCATACATTGAACTAAATAAGTTGTTAAAAGCAGAAGATAATCACGTAATTAGAAAGAAATAAATCAATTTGTTAAAAAGAAAGAAATCGTGATATTTAAAAAAAAAAAGATTAAGGTGTTACAAAAGAAATAAATTAAAACGTTAAAAAGGGAAAACAAATCAAGTCAAAAGGAAAATATTCCACCTTTTTTTAATTAATTATCTATTTTTTTATATATATATATATATAAAACATAGAAAACACAGCAATCAAAAAACTATTTTTAAGAAATTCAACTCTTTTTAATTAATTGTCTTTTTTTTTTCTGTTATAGAAATCGGTATGCATAAAACTATTATATTAAATAAAAAACACATCAATAAAAAAAAAAACTGTTCTTAGGAAAGCCAAGTCCAAAAACCATGTTTAAGTAATAAACCGAAACTAAGACAACTTAAAAAAGAAAATCAGACGAATAATTCGGGGTTGAGTTCACGGTAGCAACTGCATTTGCATATTTGCGTAGTACCAGAAATTTTTGATGAAACAAAAAAATTTGAAGAAACAAAGAATTCCCCAAAGAAGTTGATGTAACACTGAAAAACCTTACAAAACTTTGAAGAGTTTTGACAAAAGAATACTGATCATTATGTGTATGAGGTGGGCTTATTTCCTTCTCAACTTCAAAAACACAAAAAATACTCAAACTGCTTCGGGTTATAACAAACTGGTTCAGCACATCAATATTTGGCCAGAAACCTACATTCTTCTCGTGAAGCGATTATTTCCGATTCCGCATCCTTCCAGACACATTAGCTTAACATAAAATATAAGGAAGATTTAGTTCACTACGTCGAGGACCAGCTTGCGAGACTTTAGAACTGACCACTTCAAACGCCGGTAATATCCAGCTTGGAGTAGAGCCAGTGAGAGTACAAATATCCATTTAAAACCCATCTGCATTTTGGAGATGGATACAGTGTATCAGAATTGAAATGCATGTAAATCGGTAGGGTCAATTACACAGAAGTCACTAAAGTTTAGGCATAATTCGACTTGGTCCACAGTGTAAACAAACTGTATTTCACCATTCTATAGTTGCAAAAATTTTTGGGAAAAAGAATTATAATAGGTTTATACACAGTTTATATTCTCCTACTTCGTTACTCTTATTTTTCTTTACCATGTTAGCTAAAATACACACTTTCTATTCTCCTACTTTGTTACTCTTATTTTTCTTTACCATGTTAGCTAAAACCGTTAGTGTTTTTTGGTCCCTTCACAACTATAATAATTATTATGTTCTTTTCTATTATTTGATAATTATGCAATTGTCACGTGATACATATTAAAACTATCATTTAACATCTATTAAGAAAATTAACTTAATTGATCTTATAAACTTCTTATACAGTAACCAATTTCTTTTTATTAGAAAATCATTATCATATTATATGACGACTTCAATGCAATTTATTTTTTAAGAAAAAGGCATGGAGCAGATTTACCAATTTTCTTTCTTCCATTTCTGGTTCAGCTGCCCATGATAAAAATGTCACCACATCTTTTCCCATCTGCACCACCACACAACAAAGACTAAGCCTTAAGCTCGGAAAACAATTATACGAGAAATTTGCTATGAGAAGCCTATCCTCACTTTCAGAACATTAAAAGGAAAACTAACCTGAGCTTCTGTTGCAGGGGTGCCGTCTTCATATTCTACAGCACCATCGATAAGCATCTTAGGCATAGCAATTGCTCCCCCAGGGAAGTAGGGATTGTAGTGCAATCCTTCTCGGATCTGGAACATGCAAAACGTCAATTTACATAACTAGTCTCTATAGAATCATGTAGAAATACCAAAGTAATAGGAACAAAACGAGCTAAGTGCTTAGACGTGTTTTTTCTTTTTTTTTTTCATAAGAACAAAACTGAATTGCTGACAACACATTAAGGGGTGCCTATGCATGTAAAAAGTACATTAAGGAGTCAAAATATCTGTGGGGTCCCTAACTCATAATATCAGAAATAGGCTAACTTCTAAGCCATAGGTTGATAATGAAGCCAAATGTCTCTAACCTTGTATGAAGGGAATACATGGTGTCACCTTAGAACATAGGGATCGCTATATTAACAACGAAGTAGATAGAGAATACATCAAGAAAGACAAAAATGACCATTATATTATCTTCGAACATGGTGCATACAGTTTCGTCACTTATGGTTCATTCCCCTATCCCTCCTCTATAGGACATCATACATATCATCAGCAATGTTGTACAGCAACATGGGACCATTGCTTTTTTTATAGGGCAATATACAGAATAGGGGATCCTAAACTCAGATCTTTGCCAAAGCTGTGATATGCACCGATCAAAAGGGCTATGCTTGCAGGTGCGCTACAGAATAATTATGATGTATTATATAAAAAGATTCAAACCAATTTCTTCTGTCGAATCCCCTCAACATCTGAAGATAAGACCTAATTCTTCATGTTACAAAATAAAACTATATCTATTCTTGATGTTACAAAATAGAACTACATGCAAAACTCATTGAAAAGACAAGAAAACAGAAAATACCGAAATGCCAGCAGGAGGGTCACGATAACCAGTTAAAAGAGCAAAGACATAATTCTGACCATTGTGACGAGCCTGAAAGGACAGAAGGCAAAAAAAATTCCAGAATATGGATTTTTCACATTATATAATCAAAACTTTCAAAACATTTAAATCAAAAAGCAGAAATAACCTTTGTAATAAGACTCAGATCTGGAGGATATGCTCCTCCATTAGCAAACCTTGCAGCTTGTTCATTTGCATATGGCTCAGGAAAACGATCACTGAGTTTACCAGGACGAGTGAACATTTCACCCTCATCATTAGGTCCATCAACAACTTCAATCTCAGCTGCCATTGCCTTTGTTTCCTCTTCGGTGTATGCAACACCCACCAGATCTCGGTATGATACAAGAGACATAGAGTGGCACGATGCACATACTTGTTGGTATACCTGGTGACCCCGGCGAATCCTATTTTGAAAAATTTATGTCAAACTGTTAAGTCAAATTGTTTGGTGCAACATTTTACTTGCAAAACATGATATTATAAGTTAATATCCGAAACAAAGTACCCTGACATGAGCAGGACAGTGTGAAGCCACCTACCTTTTTCAGCGATTTTTTTTTTTTTAAATAAACCTTTTTTCAGCAAAATATTTTACATTTACCTATACATTATATAAATTTTCTTGAGCCAATAGCATGAAGACAGAGAAAAAAAAAAAAAAAATATATATATATATATATATATATATTTGCAGCCATGCATGGGCAGACACCAAATTCTCAGACACTCAAATGTTTTAAGTGGTAAGACTTTGTCTAACGGTTCAAAGTATAGATCAGAAGTGGAATACAAGGAAGAATGTGAACAGAAGATTGTAAGGCTCCATAGATAATTTAATATGAGGAGAAAGTTAATAGACTTACGAGGCATGATCATATGAACTGAGAATTCCATTGTGAGGCCAAGGATAGCTTGGACACTCTAAACCATGTTCTGCCTCATCAGCAGATGCTACTGTTGCAAAACTTAAAAATCCCGAAACACCAGCACCAATGAGTGCAAATGCCTTTAGGGATTTCATACCCGTGGATCCACTATCTTGTTGAAACTTTTTTGATGCAAACCATGACAAAATTGGAGGAGCCTGAAAGAAAACATACAGAAGCAGTTTGTATTTGAGTTCCGTTTCAGTCCACATCCAGATCACACAGATGCATATCAAGAATCAAGTATTCCTACTTTGATTCCAAATAATAATAAGAGACTATTAATGCATGATAAAAAATATACAGGAAATGACTTCAAGATGGCAGTTTTTGATAGAATTGACATTTAGCCACAAATATAACACTACAGAGAATCCACTAGAAGCATATGAACAAAATTTACCACTCAAATTTGTGCATTATTTGAGATATTCAACAACATAAGATTCTTACGGCACAATAAGACTGAAGTTTCCTCCTTAGGAGCTGCTGGATAACTCCTCCTCCAGCCATCTTGATAAATATCTCAATTAATTAGATCTGCAAAAGAATGATGAACATTTTTACCCGAATAAGGACCAAAAGTTCAATGCTTACTGTTTTATGCTAGTGAAAAAATACTTCAGATAGTATCAAGTAAAAAAACCATGTTTTGTTATTCGTAGGAATACAACAAAAAAAACTTTTTCACTCATCTAACAATCGGACCTTCTTTTTGAAAGAAAAAACCATCTAATCATTTGACTTATCAAATTCAAGGCAATTTTTTGGAATGATAAAGGAAGCATCACAGCCAATATAGTTAAGAGTCTCTATATGTTTCCCTAAGAATTATAAACTCTGTAACTGCATTTATACACTACGATTTTAGATTCTGGACAAGAAAATACTTCTGATAGTATCTGATACAAAACCATGTTCTTATTACGTGTAATATAACAAAAACATAAATTTCCAGTCATCTAACAGTCTAACTTGAAAAGGCAAAGCAATTTGATGCAATTGATAAACAAGCATGACTTACAACATAGTGCAATGTCTGTATATGTTTCCCTAAGAATCCTAAAGTTCATAATGCATTCTTATATCACAATTTATGATTCAATACATGAAAACCAAATTCCAAATAATGATGATCAACATGAGTCACATTTAATTTTACTGGCACATAAAGGACATAAAAAGAAACCCCCCAAAAACAAAATATGGACCCAGTAGATATTGGTCAAATTTATAAGGCGAGTAGAAACAAAAAAAAAAAAAAGAACCTATAAAACCAAATTTTCATACATATAGAAACCCATGCAAAACACAATCAGACAGTATCAAGCCCACATAATTACCCAAAGATGAGCTTAAGTTTGTTTTCAGCAAAGAATTATACTTCACTACTGCAAGTTACGTTCTTTATTCATTAGCAAAACTCCTTCAAGAATTAGATTATACAATCCACAAACAAAAACAATCATCTAAACAAATCTTATCCACTAAAACATGACAACATTGTTTCTCTCCAAACGAACAAACATAAAAAATTAAAAGGAATCAACTTTCAACCCCATAACAAGCTGAAGAATCTAGCCCCAAAAAACAATCTCACGATTATACAGGCATGTGATCATACATGGTATACTGAATCACACACGGATTAAAAAACCCTAATAGAGCGTTGAACAGATCCGAGAAACAGCGAGAATCTGAAGAAGATGAAGAGAATTACAGAGAGTAAGAGAAATAACCTACGAGATGAGAAAGCAGGAAGATTGACAGAGTTAGGCTTTAACGAACCAAGAGATCGTGATGCGAGAGAAAATGGGAACTGTAAGGCTACTGGTGCCCTCTTCACCTCTTCTTCTCCATCGTTAAGAGAGTCGATGAATGATAGTGTTTTTGGGCCTTTATGGGCTTCTCTCTCAGGCCCATTAAGCATGTACCAGGCTTTTTATTTTTCCCTTATTATTTTAAAGAGAAAAAAAGTTTCAGAATAATTTTTAGGTTGTTTAATTATAAAATTTTATTTATATTATACATACGTATATATATATATATATGTAAGAGTAAATAATTTTTTTAAAATATAAAAATTTAATCATTTATTATTTTACCACAATAAAAAAATAATTTTATAACATAAAAAATTAATCAATATAATTCCACTAATATACTAACTAGTTCAATTTACACTAAATTTATTATACTTACAATAATATACGAACTCATTATTTTAAAATTAAATATTAAGTTTTTAATCACAAATTATTAATAAAATTTATATTTTAAAAAAACTGATCTTATTTAGTACTATTATAATTAAAATATGTGAAATATAAAAGATAATTTTTAAATTTCATATAATTATAAATTTTTTTTGTATGTTATTATTATTAGTGTTGTTATTTTGAAAATTTAAAATTTAATTTAAATACCTTATTATTATTATCATCATTATTATAATAAATCTATTTAAATACCCTCCATTTTCCTGCAGAGTCATAAAACCAGAGGCCCAGCTCATATACACAGACACATAATATATGTGTATGTGTGTATATTTATACCCGTAGAAACATATGCGAAGACGGTGAAAGTGAACGGAAAACCACTGGCGCCAAATCTTTGTGCTCTCCAATCAACACGGTTTTTCTTCTTCCCCATATCAGGCACCGTATTCTCCTTCTTTATATATATATATATATATATATTTGAAATATGCGTCGTTTACTGGGTTCTCGTGTATTCCATGGCCAATTTTCTTCACCATCACCTTCATCATCACCACAACAGCAACAAGAAGCAACAGCGTTTGAAGGGTTTCATTTTGGTTTCATCATGTGCCGGGCTTTTAGGGGTTGGTCTTGTTGTAAATTTTTTATGGGCTTCTTCTTCTTATTTTTCTGCTGCGTATCAGGCAGTGGCGTCTGGCTGGGATTTCAATTCATCGCCGACGGTTGTTGTCCCAAATGTCGACGGCAGCATTGTTGAAAGGGTTCTGTGTTGTGGCTATTTCTCTGCTTCTTTTTCTAGGGTTTTTTTAGCATCTGCTGTTGTTATGTTGATTTTGGAGTTCACTTTTTTGGTTCTGGATGAGTTTTCGTTGTGCTTTCTGGAAAACTGATAGGTTTCTGTTACTTACGGGGTTCGGTGGTAACTTGGGAAATTTTTGGAAGAAATAAAGAAATTTTTAGGGAACTAATTTGAAAATTTAAGCTAGGAGTTGTAAAAATTAGATTAGAAGTTGATAACGGATTAATTCATATGTAGTTTTAGATGAAATTGTAAAAATGCATTTCCCTCAAGATTGATTTAACACACTCTTGACTTGCTCTAAGTATAACCTTAATGTTTCATGTATTGTTTGTACCGTGCTGTGTTTCTTTGGAATGAAATGTGAGGGCACTTTGAATAAAAATGATATAAAGAAGCACCTATTTAATAGTGAACGAAATGAACATTATATTTCAGCTATTTGTAAATTGATGTCAGTGCACTATTTCTGTGAATCTCGTAGTGATCATGTTTGATTAAGATAGTTTTATTTGTCATTAAGTGATGCTATGCTTTTATTCATGGGTGACTAGCTTTGGTAATGATGAATCAATGGGGTGAAAATTTTGTTTTTGCAGATAGCAAGGGGAAAATATTCAAAAAACCAGAGTGTTGTGAGATTACTATCAGCAACATATGCTGATTTACCAGCACCAGAGTTACAATGGGAGCAAATGGCATTGGCTCCAGTGCCTCGTCTTGATGGATCAGCAATACAGATTAAGAATCTTTTGTATGTCTTTTCAGGCTATGGCAGCCTTGACTACGTAAGCATCCTTTTTTTTTGAGTTCATCAGGACATTTACTTGTTCCTGGATTTAACAGGGTCTATTTTGTTCTATATGATCCTTTATAGGGCATGTGTATATCTAAGTTGAGTATAAATATGTAGATTTTGCTGTTTTTTGAATTTATCATGCAAACTTTAGAATTAATGTGTTAAATATAATGTTTGTGCCTGCAATAACTGGTTTTGAATGTTGTGTCTTGATGTCAATATTGACGGCCTCCAGGTGCACTCTCATGTTGATGTATATAATTTTACTAATAACAAGTGGAGTGAAAGATTTGACGCACCGAGAGAGATGGCAAATTCACATTTGGGAGTAGCAACTGATGGAAGGTACATCTATGTGATCTCGGGGCAAAATGGACCTCAATGTAGAGGTCCAACAGCTCGGTCATTTGTCCTTGACACCAACACAAAGAAATGGTGGGACATGCCTCCATTACCAGCACCCAGGTATATAACTTGACTTCCTCATGTGATGATAATGTGGTTCTCCTTATTTACTTTTCCTGCTTAGGCTACATAAAATGTTTGATCAGTGATGAAAAAAGAAAAAAACAAACTCTTAGGTTATAATCATCACGAATCTGTTTTATAAAAGTTGGATTTCGTATTGTAGGAATCTTACTTATAGTGCATCACTTTCTAGATATGCAATCAAGTTCGGTCATGGAAACATGTACCTGTTCCCATCTGGTAGGATAGTTACTTTCTGATCTGAAATATCTGAAGCATTTGAATGTACCTGTCTGCTCCCACTGGTATTGGTTCTGTCATGGTCATTTATATTTATATTTTTTAATTTACTTTTTGATCTATAAAGAGAATATTATTTTGTAATTTGTGAAGAGAACTGGTTCTTGTCACTGCCTCAGACAGTATTATGGGTGGAAGGACAATTCCTGCCCTGCATTGTCTTTTTGATGTACTCTTGTGGCAGCAATAACTGAATTTATAGTCTATATGATAGTATTCATCTGTGATAAGACCAGCAACTGCTTCTTGTCACTCCCTCAGAAAGTTTTATGGGTGGAAGGACACAATTCCTTCCCTGCATTGTCTTTTTGATGTGCTCTTGTGGCAGCTATAACTGAATTTATAGTCTATATGATAGTATTCATATGTGATAAGACCAGCAACTCTCCAGGTGCTAACTGAAAAATGTTGTTTTGTTCAAGCTTGAAACTGGATATCTAATGATCCCTGAGCATTCTTCTGTCAATAGCTGAATTTGGTGACAACTAATCATTTAGTTGAAGAATTAGATTGAGATCATTTAGATATATTTTTCAGATATGCTCCAGCAACTCAAATATGGAGAGGCAGGCTCCACGTAATGGGTGGCAGCAAAGAGAATCGTCACACACCAGCTGTGGAGCACTGGAGTATCGCAGTCAAAGATGGCAAAGCCTTGGAAAAAGGGTGGCAGACAGAAATACCAATTCCTCGGGGTGGACCACATAGGTATCCTCATTTATTCATATCTCTGATTTTTCTTTGTAGGGAACTAGGTGATTTGTTTCACTGGGATTAATGAATACTTTATCATTTAACAAACTCAGTTCTTCGCTGGCAGGGCAGGTATTGCTGTTAATGATCGGCTTTTTGTTATTGGTGGTCAAAGAGGGTGACTTTATGGCCAAGCCTGGGTCACCTATTTTCAAGTGCTCACGCAGGCATGAGGTATTTCCAGTAGTTGTCAGAATATGGTGTTTTGATTATATTGGGTTTGGGTTTGAAATTCCCTGTCCGTGGCGTGTGCCTGTTACATGTC